ATTCAAGTTTTGTGCAAAAACGCATAATAGCTCCGGCTCGCCTGGTGCGTTCCAGCCTACGTTTTGCTGACGTAGCCCAGAGTGACCCCGAGCGGTGGCTGATACAAGGCGGAACTCCTCACAACTTTTCGGAATAATTACACATCTCTGTTTAAGTGAATCTTTTACCGCACCGGCAGCCTTCCATACATTGTTCACCCATTTCTGTTTAGGTCCCATTTAATACATTTTTTTACGTTTTTGCATATATGCAAATGCGAAAACACATATTGTGACGATCGCGGTGTATATATATGTATGTGTCTGCGCCTGTCCGTGTGTTTCAGCTCAGTAGCCAAGCAATATTCGGCGCTGAAATTTTGCCAGTGGGTTTCTTTGCCAGTACCACCTCAAGTCCACGCCTGGGCCCCGCATGCGGGCGCGTGAAAGTTTTGGCGAGAAATGGCTAATTTGGGGGGCAGAAAAGCTAGAAAGCTGAAATTTCGAGAATGTTTACCTTTCACACAAAATCTTTAGATTTCAAATTCAGCTCCAAAATGTGCATGGTTCTCACTTACATCTCGCTAAATTTTCGACGAGAAGATTGCTAACCTGGGAACCAGAAAAGCTGGGAGGCTAAAATTTTAAGGGAGTGCAACATGCAGTTCTCTATCCAGGCAACAAGCAGTGTACAATTAACTTCGTGAACTTTGTGGGCCAGTGTGTAAAAAATTCTGGTTATTGGGATTCCAACCGATTTTACCATGGCACGAAATACTGCAAATACTCATAATCGCATAAGTCCGCCTGATGCGCTTCGCCGATGATTAAGTACTGCCTTTGCTGCAGTGAAAACCAATGTCTCTAATACTGTATCACTGATGTTACAAATTTGCACAGCTACGGGAAATGTCACAGAAGTCCAGATCTGGCGTATGAGTAGCTAATACTTCTGTAAGCGTTGCCTGCTCATACAGCAAGATCTGGTCTACAGCAGAAGACGAATTTCAGATGTTTCAGTCATGCATAACCATATCCCAGAAAATTTCAACTCTCCAGGTCAGCTAACCTTCGAAATCGCATTTCCTGTAAAAATAGTTTAATATGCTCATACTCTTGGTACAGGTGTGCACGTAAATGCTCCTTTCATGTGTGTGGACTCACACACTTGCAAATATTTTCACAAAATTAGGATCTATTAAGCCTAGTTCCCGAGCTGAAATTTTGCCAGCTACTCCGAAATTTTAAATTTGATATATCCGCATGTGTGGCGTAAGCATGTGTTCAAGCTGAACTTAGAACCATTTAGATAATGTAAGGGTATTGCAAAGTAGATAATGAATATTATAAGGGTTCAGTTTATTACTAGATACAACCAACTGAATTTTATTTTTTGGCACGAACAATACCCGCCTAAGTGCAGATTAATATACCAAAATAAGAATCTACAATAAGGCACTGAAAAAAACACAGACTGATAACACTAAAAATTGAACTTGAATCAAAATAAAAATCGGAAGAAGAAAATCGATGAATAGCACTTATTCATGATTTGTTAGGATTTAAACAATAGAACCATGATTAATAGAAAATAACCCGATTACATGGCTGATCCAGGTTCTTCAAAATTTTCCAAAACAATAATTTCCAAAAATAAGTGCGAATATCATGAATGAACTTTGTTTGAACATGGTCATTTTACCTCAGGAAATCTAAGGAAAGATATGCCTGCACATTTTTTGTCAACATTCACTTTTTTAATAAAATTTTCAAAAAATCATTCTCAAACAGATTGAGATTTTCAACTGAACACATTTCAACATACGGCAGATAAAAGGCTATACTACATTTTTCGAATCTATTTACACATGTTGCCCTTATCTCTTTTTACGGCTTAAGAGATTTATTGTAAAAATCTCGCCAAAAACGACTTAGCTATTGCAAGTCTTTTTCTCTAGGCACTCCGAATCGGCTAAACCCTAGCATAAGTATTCTTGATTAGACAGCCGTTAAGCTGGTAGTTTCTTCAGGAGACGAACCGGACGCCAGGACCAGCAGCAGCAAATTCACCGCCACACCGGTCAACGCAACTGGAAATGTTGCTAATTGCAAAGTGGAATACAGCCATTCAGAGCAACAAAATGAACAGCAAAAAATTATAATCCATATAAACAAACAAGTACAGTGAAGAAACATGTGCACGAATGTAAGAAAAATTGAAATACATTTAAATGTTTGATGCATTTACATATTCGTTTAATACCTGGACAATACTTTGCTATTAACATATCTAAACAATTATGAAAATTCTTCCAAAACAATACTTTTTCTGAGTATTATTAAATAAGAAATTGTAATATTTTAACTAAAGTAATTTTAATACATTCAAAAATCGTAAAAAATGATTCTAATACATTCAAAAATCAATTTACAAATAAAATTTCTTTTCAGTTTCATATATAAAGGGATAAAAAATTATTGAGCATGTACTCTAATTAGTTAATTTTTGAAATTAACAGATCAAAAAACCATAGACAAGTTTGCTGGTGGGGGTGCCTTCTTTTGGCATTTGTGCACTTTGAATACCTCCAAATGTCTCCATCCTTCATAAAGAACAAATACGGGAAAAATGCTAACTTTCGGCTTTGGAGTAAATTCCTCAAAAAATTCAATATTCGAACATAAAAATGTCTGCTTCACAGGCCACTTGAATATAACTATATTTTCAGTCAAAAAATTTTTCCATATTTCATTCGAGGCATTCGACAACGGCCCAGTTGGTTATACATTGCAATCTAGAATCTCTAGCTTTTCGCAGCCTCACTCCCGCTGTTAATTGCTTAAAAACAAATTATAATTAAGTTATTTGGTCAAATTTTAGAAGAAAAGTAACAATGTGCAACGGATAATCAAAATAGTTTGAAACCATCTGTGGTGAAACTTTTTTGCCAGTTTTGGTGCCAGTTAGATTAGATTCGAATATTGATCCTTGGAATGACTCAAAAAATTGTCGTAACAAATCCTGAAAAATAGAGCCAAATTTTAAAGCAGTATCTTAACGTTGGAATAAAAGCGCACACCACTCTTCCGGAATTGAACAACCATTTTAAAAAATCGAGCATATTCGGCAGCGTCGCCAGTTTTATCATATCATCGGGTTAGGTACCATAATACTAACATACGTCAAAATAAAGTTCTGGCAGTTCCGATTGGGTGATTTTTTGTGGACAAACAGTCAGCGCCGGGCATTTTGCTAAGCTGGAACTACCAATCATACGAACCGAAAGGAGCTCTTCATTGTAACAACTGGCGCGCACAAAAGAGAGCTGAAAGAGGTGTAATCCAAAACTAAAAGAGCTGGAAAAGGAGTAATCCCTATCGTCCCAAGAAAAATCTTCGACTATTGCCACTGAAACGTTCTGCCGCTGGACAGTGACTAACAGATTTTGAAGATAGTTGCTCTGACAGCTTATGTGTTTCATCCATTATTTCACATTTCAAACATAAGCTTACAGTGTTGGTGCTGGTTTTGAAGCTCGGTTTGGTCGAACAGTCAAACGGCAGTTTTCGCATTGATATCAGAACTGTGCCTGGTGCAATATAGCGAGCATTAATTAATTGAATATTGCTTGGTAGAGGCGGTAAAGCTGTTGCCGTATTTACACCTAAAAGCACAAAAATTACTTTACAGATAACGTGTAAATCAAAAACTTCTATGATGCAAGTTTCAGACTCAGTGAAAGCAACAGATATCAGCCATGTAAAGAATGAGGTAGCTGAAAACTCTTGGGACGTAAGTTTTAGGACAAAATAAAATAGCGAAAAAAAGAACTATATTAAGGATATCCTTCAAATACGTTTTAAAATGATATCAAGACATACAGTGGGCGAAAAGTTGATCGGAGAAAAAGCTGCGACAAATCCGTATGCTGTTGGAAGGAGTTAGACAAGAAGGGCAAAAGTTAATAGAAATATAAATAGTAAAATTACTTCCAGGCTGATTTTGGGGTCAAAACCGGATGGAGCAGTGGCCCAACACATCAAGCTCGAATATGATTGATTCGACACCCTTTTGTTCCGTACTCCATTGCAAAAAAAGGATTTCCACCACAATATGAACTAGTAAATTCTGAGACGAAACTCCTAACCCAAGGAATTAAAGTTGGATTAAGAAATAGCAATCGGCGATGGCGACATAAACAAATTAGAAAAAACGGGTTAATTGCTAGTGAGATTAAGAAAATTACCAGTTCCTGTAGAAGACTGAGCGCCACTCGACTGAAAGAGGTCAGCTGGATAAAGTAAATGCTCCAAGATTTGCTGGACAAACTGCGAATGGTACAAAAGATTCTCAGCCATCGAAAAGTTTGCAACAGTTTCGAGGGTTTCATTGAATGACAGCATGTCGCCATAATCAGGTACACTGGTAGCGGATGGAATTTTTGATTCAAAAATAATTCGATACTCGAGATGCGTTGGGTGTGCCTGAAAGCTGATCAAATAGTACTGAGAGTATGGAGCCTACGATCCAAAGGCCAAGCGTAGCTGCACTCGGCCTGTGGATGCATTTCAGTAGCACCATTCTCATGGGATATCCACACTGATGACCGGATTACTGCAGTTTTTAGCTAAATTTATTGCACTTTTCCGTGTCAGTTACATAGAGTTGGCTTACGGAATGCATCGTGTACGCTCACCACTCGATTTTAACCTCCAATGTGCCCTTGTTTATTTTTTTACTTCAGCATGCAAAGTACCCCCTTATTTTCCTTTCCCATTCTTACACCTTGCTCTGTTTTTTGAAGAAGCCAGAAATTCAAAAGAATGAAAAAATGCGGAATCAGTCATTGTGAAAACCAGACCAACCTCACTTGCTTCATAATAACCCAACCCTTTCCCATCATCATTGATCATTTCACGGTCAACCATTAACATGAGTGCACCGTTTCTGGAAGTTACACCAGTTGGCTGAGCACCCAGAACGGTGCAGCGAAGCCCGTCGTCTTCGATTACTGTTTCAGTTGGCATCGGATAGATATTTGCTTCAAATTTCTCGTTTTTGTTGTAGCTGTAAATATGAGAAATACAGCAGAAAAGAAAGCTGTTATTTTAATTACCACAAACTGATTAATT